CAAGGACAGGAGTTGCTCTGGTGGGTCCCGTGGGGCTGAAGCAGCCCCTTGCCCAGGATGGGCGGGCAGCTGCACCAGCCCTTACCAGTTAACCATTTATATCCCTGGTTGGAATCAGTGCCCCATTGCCTTATATGCTGTACAAACACATCATGCCCTTGCCCAAAGTCTTTATAGTCTGAACATTTCTATTTCTGTTGGGTTGGTCTTTCTGTCTTTGTCCACTTCTAGACTTTTTAAATAATCTGAATTGTAAGCAAGCTGTTTAGGTTGTGTAGGCTACACTGGGTTTTTTTTCCCTAAACACGAAGTCTATAATTCGCCTTCCTGATCTGCTCCCTAGACTCTGATTCCCCTTGGACTTCTCTTTTGCTCACTTCCTGCTGCTTGCGTCATGCCCATTGTGCTCATTCCTAATTGGACCTGAGCACTGTGTGCACTGAAGTAAGGAAGTGAAGAGTGGTTATTTAGCTAATCTTGTAGTCAGTGCAATTTGTATCGACTTCACAATTAGTCAGTATGGGTGCTGCTCTGCAGAGCGGCAGTGAGACTACCTCCTAGAGACAGCTCAAGCCAGGACTGAACAGTCCTAGCTAGTGCTGGCTCTGGACCTGTGGATCTGCATTTTAAATGTAGTAAGATCTGTTGAGCTCTTAATACATTTAAAATGCAGAGGCACAGCTAGTCCCAGCTCATACTTGTCCGGGACGCTTGGTCCCAGCTTGCGTTGGGTCCAGAAGCCCCTGTTCGCAGCGGCAGGATTTCCTTTTCCATCAGGCAGTTTGCAGTCGTTGGTTGCAAAGCCTCCAGTGGACTCTGAAACAGTAGTCCTGTTTGTTTGAAGGTGGGAGGGGATGAGTTGCCAGTTGGTTTATTTAGGTCATCTGAGTGCATAATGTAATGCATGATATTTCTGTGTAATTGGGAGGATGGGGTTATTCCAGTTCAGTGATTTTCCAAATGAGATGGGAGGGGAAGGGGAAGGGAAAGGAGTGGGCTCACCCTCTGCTGTCCAATCAGGCATGCTACAGGGGACTCAACCCATGCTGATGCCATCCACTGCTTGTAATGAGCTTCCCCTTCACCTGGCAGAGAGTGAATCACCATAGCTCTGGGTGTGCCGTTCATGAGATGGGTTAGTGGGTCTTTATGCTTTGTAACAATTCTGTAAATCTTAGCTGGGCTGATTAAATGTTCCTTGAAACAATGCACCCGCTGTTCACTGGGTCAGCAAGCTGCTCAGAAGAGGGGATGGACAGTTTTCTTTCTCTTTCGCTACAAATGGAAAGTAGCTGCTAGGCAAAACAAAGTACAGGTGGGACCTCCCCGGTAGGACACTCTCAGGACCTGACCGGTCCTGAACAAGGGAGTTGGCCAGACCAGGACAGTCAATTCTGGCCCCCTAGCCAGGATCCGCTCTTGGCCCAGCTGGGCTCCCTGCGAGCACCAACCAGGCTGGACTCCTGGCACCAGCAGGGCTACTTGT